CTTTGGTCTTATGTGAATGTTAGTCTCGTTTGAAAACATACCACAACTCCCTAATTTTATAAGATAAATTTATAGAACAGAATGTATTTGCAGTATTATGTGTTTTCATTGACAAGAGCAAAGATGCATTTTTCTGTGTTTTTAGCTGGCTGGCTGACACCAAAAAATATAGACATTGCCTAAGAGACGTAGTCAACATGCAGGAGAAACACATACACCAGTGATTATTGCTATCTCATCGAAATGGATTTTTACCATTGTGTAATTTTGCTGTTCATAGCAGATCTTGAATCTTATCTCAGATATCCATTTGTATGAGTAGTTTTCCTTTGAAAGGACATCAATTTTCATTCACAATGAAGAGCTCAAGGAAAGAACAAATTAATCTGTGTGTTATGTGCATGTGTAATCTTTAGTTTTTCAAATATTTTAATCACATTTACTGTGGATTCATTTATTTTCGTGGATGGAGGAAAACTTGCATTTTCGTGGATATTTGATTTCGTGGTTTTAAAAAAACCTGCATATAATCATACAGCAAATTTTTAATTCGTTGAACATTTAAATTCGCGGTTTCCCTGTACCCACGAAAATTAGTACCCAAGGAATAATAATGAATCCACAGTAATCTTTTGTAAACCTAAAAACTTTTTAAATCAATATTTATTTTTATTAAAAGTTGGTGAAAATGTGAATATATCACTTTCAACTTATCATACTTAACATGAGCAACAGCCTTATTGTTCTGTATAGAACCAGTCTACAACTGTTTAAGGGAAACAACTGTGTTCAAAGTGTGTTATAACAAAAGGAAAACTGATGAGGAAAGGATGAAATGTAGGCTAGTTTTATTTTAAGGTGGTACCTAACACTACAGGGAGATAACTCTGTAAAAATCAGCTAAACGTTTTAATTACATTGTATTGTTAATGAAATATTAATAATAATAATAATAATAATAAATTCTTTATTTAAAGAGGGTAAACTCAGTTAGTTACAATAAACTAATCTTCCCTGAGGCCCTCACATACAAATTACAATACAATCAAAAACAGATATTTACACAAAGTTAATTTACAGTCAATTAGTTCAATGTAATATTACTAACATGATAAGATATAAGGCTGTTCAAGATGTACATGTAGTCAAAAAATCAAATACAAATAAAAATAAAAGAATATACAAATACATTGTAGAAAATATAATCTTATCAGGACTGTGTTAAGTACTTCTTGATACTTTGTTTAAAAGTATAAGTGTTTTGAGCTTTACGCATTTTGTGTGGTAGTCCATTCCATAACACTGATCCAGAATAAACAAAAGATTTCTTAAATAGCTCAGCTTTTGGCTTAGGAACTATCAGATTACCTTGAGTGACGCCTCTCAGGGAGTAAGGATTATTATCTGATTTCAGTTTAAACTTTTGAACTAGGTACATTGGTGCTTCCATATGCATACATTTATATAGAAGTAAATATTTGTGGTATTTTATTCTATTGTCAACTGTCATCCACCCAAGTTTTTTAAATAAGGGGGCTGAGGGGGATAAAGGATCTGCATATAGAATTAATCTTGCTGCCCTTTTTTGGAGTTTTAAAATTCTTGCTATCCCTTCATTTTTACATTCACCCCAAATAATACAGCAGTAGTCAATCAGGGGCAGAATATATCCATTGTAATATGTTTTCCTTGCATTTATATCTAAAAATTTCTTTATTTTAGAAAGAAGGTATATTCTGGATGATATATTAGCACAAACTTGGTCAATTTGATTTCTCCAGTTAAGTGTGCTGTCAATTTTAACACCTAATAATTTTTCACATGAAGAATTTTGTAATACTTTTGAATCTATTATTAAGTTTGGTTGATAAGTCTGAATTGATAGTTTCTGCTTTGTTCCAGTAACCAAACATTTTGTTTTATTTGCATTAATGAACATGTTATTCATTTTGCACCACTCTTCTCAAGAGTAAGCTTCTCAACGATCAAAATTAGTGTTTGTCAAACTGTTATATAACCAATGAAATTTTTCTGATAAAGTGGTTGGTTCAAATTTTTTGAAATTTTTATATTTTTGTCAAAGGGTCAAAGTTAACATTTTGTCAAAATTTTATGAAAATTAAACAAGCCAAATTAATAATAGTCAAGGTGTTGGGTACCACCTTAATATCGGGCTGTTGTAATTTCTAAGATGTATCTTAATACTATCTTGTATGATTGAAGTTCACGCGGCCTAAAACTTGACTTTTCAATGATTTTGCAGAGATATATGACTGTTGTTCACCTTGTGCTGTTACACTCTCATAATTGTCCAAATTTATTTTATTGTTATACATTTGAGAACTGAACTTCACTCAAAGTTACTGACAACCAAAGTATAGGTCAGTGACGAAATTTTGGAGTTAGCTGTTGTTCTCAAATCAATGCATCATTACACTTGGTAATGGTAGCTGGTAATTTGGAATGTAGACTCTTAACTCTGACATTATGCTAAAATAAACTGTTGACACAGAGATATGTCTCTCCTGTCAGGAGAAAATTCAGAAAAAGACAATCTGATGGACAGCATTATTAAGAATTATTTTAAAGTCATTGAAACATGACCTAGGGGGCAGGGCCTAACAATAGTCATCAAACTGATATGTACTGATAGTGATGCAACTTTATAGAAAATATCATTGATCTATCACAAGTAGTTCCTATCAAGATGACTTAAGCGGAAAACTTGACAATTGTTGATGACGTCACTGTTGCTGTTGCCGATGGAAAAGCAATACCTATAAGCAGATACATAAAATTGTACCTAGTTTCCCATTAAAGTATTTCTATAATTACATATAAAGTTTTATGCAAATTTGTTTTGCAGGCATGAATCATATTTTTTTTTATTTGCTGTTGCGCACAAGAAATGGACAAATAAAGATAAAAAAATAAACCAACATGTATATGATATTTAATGTTAACTTCCTTTCGTAAATAACAATGATATTGCACTGATCATACAACAAACAACTATCATTCTATGAAGTACTCCCCCCTTTTTTATACATGATTTTTAAATGTAATTTTGTATAATTCACTGCTTCAGAAACCAATGAGATTTTGTTGATTTCATTGTTGATACACAATATAGATAAAAGAAAGTTTAAAACACATGATTAAGTTGAATATCCTTTGCTGTAGTAATGTTGCTGCTCAGAAGATAATGATAAACGCCTCACAGTAATACCCAAAAGGCTTTCAACCCTTAATGTTCAAATTTGATGTCTTATCACAGGCTTTCCCGACTGTAAGGACAAGATCATTTTAGTACTGACATGATTATAACTGGCCAAGTGATTTTAATAACAGGATTTTTTTACAAATGGAGAAAGCGATGATATATATGATAAATGGGTGCAATATAGCTGCAGAGCTCCAGATAAGAATTCACAAATTGGGGTTTTTACCCACCATTTTTTTATGTAATTGGGTGATAAAGTTTTTTAATTGCATTATCAATTCCAATTCACCCCTCAAGCAAATATCAAATTGGGTTTTTCACCACCAAGCTCCTTAATGTATTGGGTTTTTTCATCAACACAATATTGAATATTTAGGCATGTTATAATCACATTATATCAACCTCAGATGTGTTTCCATCTTAAATGTGTTTCTTTCTTTGTAGAATATGTGCTAGCTGTTTTATTTGGTTTATTCACTGACGAGCAATTGTACATTTAATTTGTGTACCGTTTTAAACGTTCTGTCAGTTTTGTATTTTCTCAAAACTTATGTAAACTGCAGCTGGTGTCACTAGTTGGACAGGAACTAATTGCCTTCTAGATCCCATATGATCACCCTACAGTTTAATTATAGTTGGGGTAGGTGTGGCTAAGTGTTTAGATTTTTGTGTCATATATGTGAAATTTAGGTGCTGTAAGAAAGTTTTGCCAGTCCTTTCACCTATTTGCCAGATCTACTTTTTAATAAAAATAAAAAGTAGTTTCCAGATTTAAGATATACCCCCAAAACCTTGAGGTTTATTGGGTGGTTAATAATGACGGAGACCACATTCAACTTAAATTTACAAATAATTCTGCAACATCAAGTAAATAAATGACAATGTTATACTGCACTTGCCAATAAGACAACTATCTTAAGCATCTAGAACAATTAGACCAAAAACAAAGAAAGTGTCAAGCTGCATTGACGTAAAAAACGGATATGTGTATTCCCTCATCAACTAAAATGAAAAAAATAATATATAAACTGTTTTCGTTTAATTCAATTTACATAAATCTGGGTTAAGTTGTCCCTTATCAGAACTTGTGGTTTCCGATGCTTTCAAACTACATATCATGTCATAATTGATTTGGCCTTTCACTTTTTCCAACTGATTTCTTTTTTTGACGGAACCCCGTGTTTATCGCTCTAGCAATGTTCTCGTTATGGTACGCAAACACGCCCGTGCGTTCAATTGCCGCTTCCTAAAATCACTAGCTGAGTCTTGTTATCATCATAACTTTCCCTCAGCTATCAAAAAGAAGCCGAAAACATGCTTCTATTCAATATTTTTACCGGACATTTACTTTCGTTTTAATTCATTGTATGTTATGATAATGCCCGAGCAATTCGAAAAAATATGACAGCATGTCACACGCTAATTTGATAAACGCCGAGAAGATCGAAATGTTTTCATAAACACGTGTACCTTTTGAGCAACGGAAAATTCCAACAGGGACCCATTACAGCTACTTGATGCAGGGCTCTATTTTTAGAACGAAAGGACATTTCCAATTATAAATATTATAAAAATAGATTTACGCGACGACTGTTATCAAGTAAGGGTAAATAACGCAAACGATAGCGAATAAAAGCGTTAAGAACCCATGTTTTTGGCATATAATTGGGTTTTCCTTTGAATTAATTGGGTTATTGAACCCTGCAATGGGCAATTGCATTGGGTTTTTAATTATTTTTATTGCGTGATCACGCAAATACGCAGCTTATCTGGAGCTCTGTAGCTGTATAAGTAAAAATAGAAGAATACTACTAAAGAGATTCTGAATCATCCACAAGGGTGAGGAACTTAAAAGGCTGGATTGTTTTGTGCTGTATCAGTTATAAGACTACTGTAATAGAAATTATACAAAATTAAGCATTCAAGTTGTATGAAAAATCCTGCTTCTTTAATCACAGATCTACAGCATTGATCCAGTTACAAATTGTTACTTGGTAAATACTGATAATACACTGTCTCTATTGATACTTGTCAGACACAGAAATCTTTCCATGTGATATTTCCTGACGGCCTTGCAGCTTTCTTGTGACATCCAATCTGTACAAGTTTAAGATTTTCGGTGGTAAACAACAGTTTATACAGAAGGTCTGTATTCAGTTCTTTCCCTTTAGGTAAATTCTTTGAAGCTTCAATCAGACAAGGAATTACCTCCCTTGATTTTTCTATTCTGAAAAAAAAAAAAAAAAAAAAAAAAAAACATTATTACATATCTTTACTTAATTTAGATAAATAAATGCTGCAAATAAAAAAATAAATATATAAAAAAGGATAATATATGTAACTTTCTACAACAGTTTGCAATCTGTAAATAGGGAAAGAATCTCAACATTTAGAGCAATGAATAGATCGATATTTAAGGTTGAATGGCAAATATTACATGCATATCAAGATGAAAACATGTTAATGTGAAATGAAAACATATCCTGCTTTGTAGTAGACTAACACAGTAGGCAAAATTTTCTCCGCAGGAAGACGTCACCCTACTTTGACACATTATTCCGGCTCAGAGCAAACCAGTCTGTTCTTACTCTTAACTGATGCAAGCTCAGCGGAGAAGCAGCAATAACAATTTTTACGTCTTAAGTTTCCCCATGCTAGGGACCAAACTTGGGACCAGCTACAGGCACGGTGTGTATGTTAACCAAAACCTTGAGGCTGTTCTCCCCACATTAGGCACCATTCATATTACCATTTGATTGAAGGAAGTAAAGACTTATATAAACAATAGCTCTGCATTTTACATAACCTTTGTTCTTCTACCAACTAAAACATACACAAACTTTCATATCATGTGTCATGTGTTTTGAAGCATGTGCCACCATATCTATAGGATATATGGATTCATTGCTTTCTTCCAAGATCAGTTCCGATCAGAACGGCCGTTTCAGTTAATTATCTATCAAAAATATAAATACAGTATACAAGATTATGCCTTACATATGATCCAAGTTCCACAGTCCAAACAGCTGTCTGTATCCACGTGAAGCGTACGGATTTATTGTGTGGAATTTATCACAGTTTTTACTGTCGAATGGTCCTTCACATGTAAACCAGCCTTTCTTATCACACATCATTCCCCTCGATGTACGATCAAAAAAAAAAGCATGGAAGTCATTCTTCTTTAAAAGGTTATTAATGTCATCCATGACAGAGATCAGCGAGTTCTTATGGTCACTATCAGATTCTTTTTCTATCTGTTCTTTTGCCTAAAGAAAAAACAAGATTATCACAAAAACTGAAGAAGTGATGAAAACAGTCTGTCCAGACAAAGTTTTACCTAGAAGAACTAAAAGCTTAGTTCAAAGGAAAAGTTTGGAGAATGACATCAGTTAAGTTGGGAGAGTCAATTCATCAGGGTCGTAGCTGCACCAAGATCAAGCAAACTGTGGTGGGATTATGTGTTAGTAACATCCTTTCTTTTTCTGATTGTTTTTACAAGTTTTACTTTATGATGTACTGAGATTTGTTATAAATATGCAACCTTTCATGTGGAACTTAATGCTTATTAAACCCCAATTCTTGTTCGTGGTTGTGAGGTTAAGCCCAATATCTGAAGAATCTTGAGATACAGTCATTTTGTAATAACAATCAGTATTTATTTTTAAAACATAAAAAATATTTTTTCAACACCTAAAATTGTAACATTTGTTTTGTGCATATCCAAGTTTGTTCAATAGTTCGATTGAAGTGCTGTCTTTGATTTCAATGAATGAAATATTTTGATTACTTAAAGTTTTACATCAAGGATACAGATATCATAAATTGGTCAAAACTAAATATTGTGCTATTTTGTGGCGGTCAGTTTTTATTGGTGGAGGAAGACAGAGTGCCTGGAGAAAACCACTGACCTTAGCTAGGAAAACTTAGATATATTGAAGGTGTATGATTCCATCTGTAGGAATTTAATAGAAGGTGGTTTTTCACACACATGTTTAATTGTAATATCATTCATAAAGCTAACAAGTATAGAATGGTTCCTCAAACTTTTCTTTTACCTGACTCAATAAACTTATTGACTAAAGTTATCATCATACTGAAGTTTTTCAATCAATGCATTTGGTATCTTGTATTTGCTAAATTATAGTTTGAAGCAGACTAAATGTTGCTTTTGTTTCTCTGCAAGGACATCCTCTGCAGTTTTTTCATAGCATTACAAAAGACTGTGTTTGTGACTCACTGTAATGAAATAACTCCTAACTCTGGTCTGTGTTTGTGACTTACCGTAATGAAATAACTCCTAACTCTGGTTTGGGCACTGTGTCTCATCACTTCACTCTTTGTCTTGTATTTCTTATTTAATCCTAAAAAACATTTATATTTTACAAATATTTAGTTAAGATGTCAATTTCTGCAAGGGGAATCCATGTGTGTACAGGATATATGGATACACAAATATATCACCTCTATCTGCAAGGTACATTAAGAAATTTATACAAAACACAGTCAAAAGAGCAAATACACAAACACACATATTATACCATCTCTAGTGGCAAGTCACTTTCATAATTTTTATAACTTTCTCTATAAACTGTTAGTGTAAACAATATTTAAATTATGAAATGAAAACAATATATCTAATACAACATAAATTCACATAGTGACAATTCAGATTCAGAAACAAGCAAGTGCTTATATTAATTTGTCTTATCTTTAAACAGTTGCTATTATTGCTACTGGTAGCCAATGCACTCCATATTTCATGAATTCAAACCCAAACTTTGGCGTTATATTACTTGACTAAACAAAACTGGAACTAACTGCAAGATTATAATTGATAAACTGATGATACATAGATATGTCTTGCCTTTATGTTACTTTGATAATAAAATGCAAATAATGTAATTAAAATGGCAATACTGTAACATGTCAACTATACAAAACATTCAAAGTCAATGAGCCATGGACCTGATGGCTGAAGGTAAAAGGACAAACAATCTCTGTGGAAATGAGAATACAAATGCTAATACAACTGCATACCAAATACTGTTTACTTACAAAACAAAAAAATGTATCATAAGTGGTTCCCTTTAAACTGACCTAAACACAAACTTTACCATGTAAACTTTCCAAAAGTTTCAAAGTCAATGAACCCTGTCTTAAGGGCCTGGCCATATAATCTCAAAGGAAATGAGCGAATCCTCATGTTTGGCTCGGTCTTCAGAATCAACATTTGTCTTATGACCTTCTTACCTTTGAACCAATCCTCATGTTTGGCTCGGTCTTCAGAATCAACATTTGTCTTATGACCTTCTTACCTTTGAACCAATCCTCATGTTTGGCTCGGTCTTCAGAATCAACATTTGTCTTATGACCTTCTTACCTTCAAACCAATCCTCATGTTTGGCTCAGTCTTCAGAATCAACATTTGTCTTATGACCTTCTTACCTTCGAACCAATCCTCATGTTTGGCTCGGTCTTCAGAATCAACATTTGTCTTATGAACTTCTTACCTTCGAACCAATCCTCATGTTTGGCTCGGTCTTTAGAATCAACATTGGTCTAATGAACTTCTTACCTTCGAACCAATCCTCATGTTTGGCTCGGTCTTCAGAATCAACATTTGTCTCTAACATCTCCAGGTACTGTGATATTATATGTATCTTCTCTGGTGCATCCTCAGCAGTCAACAGGTCTCTAATCTGATTGGCTATCTCATTCTTCCTACTGGCACAGTACAACTTACTAAGAGCATCATGGATAAGGGCACCAGCTAGAAAATACATCAATGAAGTAAAATATGATTGGTTATGGAAAAGTTGACCTTGTCAGAGAGGAGACCTGAAAAAATAGAGAAGGTCTGACCTTGTAAAAGAGGACATCTGATTGGATAGAGAAAAGCTGACCTTGTAACAGAGGAAAACCTAATTAAATAGAGAAGGTCTGACCTTGTAAAAGATGACTCCTGATTGGGTAGAGAAAAGCTGACCTTTCCTCTTTTGAATTGATTCACATTTTTCATGCCAGGGCTTTTTAGTGCAGACAATATGATATGTGTTTTTCTCATTGTTAAAGCCATACCATCACCTATAGTTGCTTATCACGCTTATATTCACATCATTTGAACTCTTGTTATAAAAAAATAACTTCAAGCTAGTATTCAACATGTTCAAAGTAACAATATTATATAAAAGACTTACTTGATCACAAAAAGGTCAATCAGACATAGAACAATAAAAGTGATCTTAAGAGCAAGATGAGCAACAGGCATATGTCAATCAGACATAGGGCAATACAAGTTATCTTTAGAGTAAGATGAGTAACACATCTATCAGACATATGGCAATCAGACATAGGGCAATAAAAGTGATTTTAAGACTAAGATGAGTAACAGACCTATGTCAATCAGACATAGGGCAATAAAAGTGATCTTAAGAGTAAGATGAGTAACAGACATATATGTCAATCAGACATAGAGCAATAAAAGTGATCTTAAGAGTAAGATGAGTAACAGACATATACATGTCAATCAGACATAGGGCAATAAAAGTGATTTTAAGAGTAAGAAGAGTAACAGATATATGTCAATCAGACATAGGGCATTAAAAGTGATATTAAGAGTAAGATGAGTAACAGATGTATGTCAATCAGACATAGGGCAATTAAAGTGATCTTAAGAGAAGATGAGTAACAGGCCTATGTCAATCAGACATAGTGCAATACAAGTGATCTTAAGAGTAAGATGAGTAACAGGCATATGTCAATCAGACATAGGGCAATAAAGATGATCTTATGAGTAAGATGAGTTAAAGATATAAGGCAATCAGACATACGGCAATAATAGTGATCGTAATAGTAAGATGAGTAACAGGCCTATGTCAATCAGACATAGGGCAATAAAAGTGATATTAAGAGTAAGATGAGTAACAGACCTATGTCAATCATACATAGGGCAATAAAAGTGATCTTAAGAGTAAGATGAGTATCAGAACTTTGTCAATCAGACATAGGGCAATAATAGTGCTTTTAATAGTAACAGACAGCACTGACTTAGTTTACCATAAGAGACAGACATTTGAATTAGAAGCTACAATAGTTTACCATAAGAGACAGACATATGAATTAAAAGCTACAGTTGTTTACCATAAGAGACAAACATATGAATTAGAAGCTACAGTAGTTTACCATAAGAGATTAAAAGCTACAGTAGTTTACCATAAGAGACAGACATATGAATTAGAAGCTACAGTAGTTTACCATAAGAGATTAAAAGCTACAGTAGTTTACCATAAGAGACAGACATATGAATTAGAAGCTACAGTTGTTTACCATAAGAGACAAACATATGAATTAGAAGCTACAGTTGTTTACCATAAGAGACAAACATATGAATTAGAAGCTACAATAGTTTACCATTAGAGACAAACATATGAATTAGAAGCTACAGTAGTTTACCATAAGAGACAAACATATGAATTAGAAGCTACAATAGTTTACCATAAGAGACAAACATATGAATTAGAAGCTACAATAGTTTACCATAAGAGACAAACATATGAATTAGAAGCTACAGTTGTTTACCATAAGAGACAAACATATGAATTAGAAGCTACAGTTGTTTACCATAAGAGACATACATATGAATTAGAAGCTACAATAGTTTACCATAAGAGACAAACATATGAATTAGAAGCTACAATAGTTTACCATAAGAGACAAACATATGAATTAGAAGCTACAGTAGTTTACCATAAGAGACAGACATATGAATTAAAAGCTACAGTTGTTTACCATAAGAGACAAACATATGAATTAGAAGCTACAGTTGTTTACCATAAGAGACAAACATATGAATTAGAAGCTACAGTAGTTTACCATAAGAGACAGACATATGAATTAGAAACTACAATAGTTTACCATAAGAGACAAACATATGAATTAGAAGCTACAATAGTTTACCATAAGAGACAAACATATGAATTAGAAGCTACAATAGTTTACCATAAGAGACAGACATATGAATTAAAAGCTACAATAGTTTACCATAAGAGACAAACATATGAATTAGAAGCTACAATAGTTTACCATAAGCATTGATAAGAGACAGACATATGAATTAGAAGCTACAAAGTTTACCATAAGAGACAAACATATGAATTAGAAGCTACAGTTGTTTACCATAAGAGACAGACATATGAATTAGAAGCTACAATAGTTTACCATAAGAGACAAACATATGAATTAGAAGCTACAATAGTTTACCATAAGAGACAGACATATGAATTAGAAACTACAATAGTTTACCATAAGAGACAGACATATGAATTAGAAGCTACAGTTGTTTACCATAAGAGATAGACATATGAATTAGAAGCTACAGTAGTTTACCATAAGAGACAAATATATGAATTAGAAGCTACAATAGTTTACCACAGTAGTTTACCATAAGAGACAGACATATGAATTAGAATTCGAAGCTACAGTAGTTTACCATAAGAGACAAACATATGAATTAGAAGCTACAATAGTTTACCATAAGAGGCAAACATATGAATTAGAAGCTACAGTAGTTTACCATAAGAGACAAACATATGAATTAGAAGCTACAATAGTTTACCATAAGAGACAAACATATGAATTAGAAGCTACAATAGTTTACCATAAGAGACAAACATATGAATTAGAAGCTACAATAGTTTACCATAAGAGACAGACATATGAATTAGAAGCTACAGTAGTTTACCATAAGAGACAAACATATGAATTAGAAGCTACAATAGTTTACCATTAGAGACAAACATATGAATTAAAAGCTACAATAGTTTACCATAAGAGACAGACATATGAATTAAAAGCTACAATAGTTTACCATAAGAGACAAACATATGAATTAAAAGCTACAATAGTTTACCATAAGAGACAGACATATGAATTAGAAGCTACAGTAGTTTACCATAAGAGACAAACATATGAATTAGAAGCTACAGTAGTTTACCATAAGAGACAAACATATGAATTAGAAGCTACAATAGTTAACCATAAGAGACAAACATATGAATTAGAAGCTACAATAGTTTACCATAAGAAACAAACATATGAATTAGAAGCTACAATAGTTTACCATAAGAGACAGACATATGAATTAGAAGCTACAGTAGTTTACCATAAGAGACAAACATATGAATTAGAAGCTACAATAGTTTACCATTAGAGACAAACATATGAATTAAAAGCTACAATAGTTTACCATAAGAGACAAACATATGAATTAAAAGCTACAATAGTTTACCATAAGAGACAAACATATGAATTAGAAGCTACAATAGTTTACCATAAGCATTGATAAGAGACAGACATATGAATTAGAAGCTACAAAGTTTACCATAAGAGACAAACATATGAATTAGAAGCTACAATAGTTTACCATAAGAGACAGACATATGAATTAGAAGCTACAGTAGTTTACCATAAGAGACAGACATATGAATTAGAAGCTACAGTTGTTTACCATAAGAGACAAACATATGAATTAGAAGCTACAGTTGTTTACCATAAGAGACAGACATATGAATTAGAAGCTACAATAGTTTACCATTAGAGACAAACATATGAATTAGAAGCTACAATAGTTTACCATAAGAGACAAACATATGAATTAGAAGCTACAGTAGTTTACCATAAGAGACAAACATATGAATTAGAAGCTACAGTAGTTTACCATAAGAGACAAACATATGAATTAGAAGCTACAGTTGTTTACCATAAGAGACAAACATATGAATTAGAAGCTACAGTTGTTTACCATAAGAGACAAACATATGAATTAGAAGCTACAGTAGTTTACCATAAGAGACAAACATATGAATTAGAAGCTACAATAGTTTACCATAAGAGACAGACATATGAATTAAAAGCTACAGTTGTTTACCATAAGAGACAAACATATGAATTAGAAGCTACAGTTGTTTACCATAAGAGACAAACATATGAATTAGAAGCTACAGTAGTTTACCATAAGAGACAAACATATGAATTAGAAGCTACAATAGTTTACCATAAGAGACAGACATATGAATTAGAAGCTACAATAGTTTACCATAAGAGACAAACATATGAATTAGAAGCTACAGTTGTTTACCATAAGAGACAGACATATGAATTAGAAGCTACAATAGTTTACCATAAGAGACAAACATATGAATTAGAAGCTACAATAGTTTACCATAAGAGACAGACATATGAATTAAAAGCTACAATAGTTTACCATAAGAGACAAACATATGAATTAGAAGCTACAATAGTTTACCATAAGCATTGATAAGAGACAGACATATGAATTAGAAGCTACAAAGTTTACCATAAGAGACAAACATATGAATTAGAAGCTACAGTTGTTTACCATAAGAGACAGACATATGAATTAGAAGCTACAATAGTTTACCATAAGAGACAAACATATGAATTAGAAGCTACAATAGTTTACCATAAGAGACAGACATATGAATTAGAAACTACAATAGTTTACCATAAGAGACAGACATATGAATTAGAAGCTACAGTTGTTTACCATAAGAGACAGACATATGAATTAGAAGCTACAGTAGTTTACCATAAGAGACAAATATATGAATTAGAAGCTACAATAGTTTACCACAGTAGTTTACCATAAGAGACAGACATATGAATTAGAATTCGAAGCTACAGTAGTTTACCATAAGAGACAAACATATGAATTAGAAGCTACAATAGTTTACCATAAGAGACAAACATATGAATTAGAAGCTACAGTAGTTTACCATAAGAGACAAACATATGAATTAGAAGCTACAATAGTTTACCATAAGAGACAAACATATGAATTAGAAGCTACAATAGTTTACCATAAGAGACAAACATATGAATTAGAAGCTACAATAGTTTACCATAAGAGACAGACATATGAATTAGAAGCTACAGTAGTTTACCATAAGAGACAAACATATGAATTAGAAGCTACAATAGTTTACCATTAGAGACAAACATATACACCTTACAATCATAAAAACTTTGTATTTGATTTGGCCTTTTACCTTTTTTTTTTGGGTGTCACTAAAGAGTCTTTTGTAGACAAAACACGAATCTGGTGTATAAAATTATCAGCCTGGTATCTTCGATGAGTTTTTTCTTTTCTATACACCTAATACAGTTTAACTATTGCTTATATGGTATATATGAGAACCAAACTTAATCATAAAAATTTGTTAAAAAGAACCATGAATAGAAATACAAAATTTACACTTTAAAAATGAGTTTAATCTTACCTCCACGCCAGTTCTCTCCTTTCTTCAAAAACACAAAAACAGTCTGAGCTGGAAGTTTTCTGAAAAACTTTTCATCATCAACAACTGTGCCATCATCCTCTATAACCACTGTCACTTCTGATTCATTTATCTACAACAAAAGGGAGACAAGTCAGAACTACAACACAACAAAGGGACATAAGTCAGAACTACAACATGTACAACATTGTACAACAAAGAGAAATAAGTCAGAACTACAACATGTACAACAAAGAGACATTTAACAATGTTTAAGTCAGAACTACAACATGTACAACAAAGGGACATAAGTCAGAATTACAACATGTACAACAAAGGGACATAAGTCAGAATTACAACATGCACAACAAAGAGACATAAATCAGAACTACAACATGTACAACAAAAGGGCATAAGTCAGAATTACAACATGTAAAGAAAGGGACATCAGTATGAACTACAACATGACAACAAAGGGACATAAGTCAGAATTACAACTTGTACAACAAAGTGACATAAGTTAGAACTACAACATGTACAACAAAGGGACATAAGTCAGAATTACAACATGTATAAGAAAGGGACATCAGTATGAACTACAGCATGACAACAAAGGGACATAAGTCAGAACCACAACATGTATAAGAAAGTGACATAAGTATGAACTACATAATGTAAAACAAAAGGGACATAAGTCAGAATTACAACATGTACAACAAAGGAACATAAGTCAGAATTACAACATGTACAAGAAAGGGACATAAGTCAGAACTACAACATGTACAACAAAGGGACATAAGTCAGAACTACAACATGTACAACAAAGGGACATAAGTCAGAATTACAACATGTATAAGAAAGGGACATCAGTATGAACTACAAGTTCAACATGACAACAAAGGGACATACATGTAAGTCAGAACTACAACTTGTAGAACAAAGGGACATAAGTCAGAATTACAACATGTATAAGAAAGGGACATAAGTATGAACTACAACATGTACAACAAAGGGACAAAAGTCAGAACTACAACAAGTACAACAAAGAGACATTTAAGTCAGAATTACAGCATGTACAACAAAGAGACATATGTCAGAATTACAACATGTATAAGAAAGGGGCATCAGTATAAACTACAACATGACAACAAAGGGACATAAGTCAGAACTAGAACTTGTAGAACAAAGGGATATAAGTCAGAATTACAACATGTATAAGAAAGGGACATAAGTATGAACTACAACATGACAACAAAGGGACATACATGTAAGTCAGAATGACAACATGTACAATAAAGGGACATAATTCAGAATTACAACATGTACAAGAAATGGACATAAGTCAGAATTACAACATGTACAACAAAGAGACATTCATGACATTTAAGTCAGAATTACAACATGTACAAGAAAGGGACATAAGTCAGAACTACAACATGTACAACAAAGGGACATAAGTCAGAACTACAACATGTACAACAAAGAGACATTTAAGTCAGAATTACAACATGTACAACAAAGAGACATAAGTTAGAATTACAACATGTACAACAAAGAGACATAAGTCAGAACTACAACATGTACAACAACGGGGCATAAGTCAGAACTACAACATGACAACAAAGGGACATAAGTCAGAATTACAACATGTACAACAAAGCCAAAGGGAAACAACGTGCAGCAACAGTTGAACAGAGCAGCATTGATGAAGCTACAATGAATGGACCAAATTCGAGGAGCTAAACTAGAATCTGGACAACATTGGAATTGAGGCATTCAAAGCCATAGAGGATGCCCTAACCCCGAAAAAGAAGATTCTAAATGATTTTAGAGTTTCTTCTTAGAACAAGAAATTGCAGAAATTTAGACACATGTATGTATCCCTCTGCCAGCAAGAGGGTTAAAAATCTGATGAATTCGGTTGCAAAAAGGCGCAGTTGTTAAAAATCATCATGTTGGTATGAAATAAAATTAAATATACCTGGAGTTTTTCACATCCTTTGGCTAAAAGTTCTTGTAAGTTTTTAGCTGTGACACCGATTCTACGTAATCTTTGCGAATCTTGAATTTTGTATGCTCTCATTCCACCATTAAATAATGATAAAAATCGACTAAGTATGGACATTAAACTATTTCAAACAGCATTTATAGAATGCACTTACTGATTTGTGCATTGTTTACTTTTCTTTTTCCCGCTTCCGGAATTCTTTTAGCTACAACATAGTACACACGTCCGATCATCACAATGCATATTGAAATTTATATAAATTGGAATAAATTTTCGCCAGAAAATTCAAACCAAAACTCTACTGACATAAAATTTTAAATGAAATATTTTTGCAACTCATTCTCATCTTTTTAATTTTTTTGTTTTTTGTTTATTTTAAAAATCGTGTCAGGTCTCCTTTAAAGAATTATTCAAGCCAATCTTTAGACTCTCTTCATATAAAGTCTTGGGAGTACACTGTAAGGCCTCGAATGATGCATGTCTTTCCGAACTTGCAAGACTGTCATTGAAAAATAGGATAATGTTATCTAGTATTAAATTCTGGGATCATTTAATCACTTCAGAAGGAAGTTTAGTTCACCAAATATATAATGCTACAAAAAAAGCAACCCATGGGTTAAAAGGTTAAATATTATTATTCAAAATTTAGGTTTATCATATTTGTCAAACTTTAACCTTACTATTAAATCCCTTTTTGGTTTTATAAAACAAAGACTAATTGATCAGGGTTTTCAGGAACAACATCCAAATATTTCAGCATCCCTAAAATTAACATTTTTCCAGAGTGTTTACAAAATGAGTGAACGAGCAGGTTATGTTGATGCTTTACGATATAGATCAGATGGATCATCATTGTGTAAATTAAGAGTTAGTGCTCATAACCTTGCCATTGAAAGAGGAAGATATTTAAAAGTGCCCAGAGATCAAAGAATTTGTGAAATCTGTAAAAGTGACGAAATTGAAAATGAACAGCACATGCTGCTACACTGCAGAGGTTACTCCAGTATTAAAAAGACTTTTGTATTAAAAATGTTCAAAATTACAGGAAAAAATATAATCACATTGTGCGATAAAAATAAAATAAATCTTATACTTAATAATAAATCTTATACGGCACTAAAACTATCTTCCTCTTTCGTAACAAATTGTTTAAATGCAAGAAGTAATCTATTGCAATAGATTTTCATTATACCTTTAATTTTTTATTCACAAATATATAATTGTTTGTATTTTACTACCATGTAAATTGTTTATCCATTCGGTCATTACCATTTATTGTAAATGCGTTTGTGCCAATAAAATATTGGCTATTGTCTATTGTCTATATTAATAAAAAAGAAATCGTTAAAAACATCTAATTGAATATATTCAAAAAAGGGAATTTGATAATTACTGTATTGATAAAATGAAAAAAATAACAATATTTTTCTGCAACAACAAAGTTGTTCTGTCTTTTTACACAATGACCATAGTTAATGTTATCAATCAATCAATCAATCAATCAATCAATCAATCAATCAATCAATCAATCAATCAATCAATCAATCAATCAATCAATCAATCAATCAATCAATCAATCAATCAATCAATCAATCAATCAATCAATCAATCAATCAATCAATCAATCAATCAATCAATTAGAAACATGAGTTGCGTTTGAATTGAATAAAAAGTTAAAAGCCTAAACGAAGTTCGAAAAAAGACTAACCCCAAATAATTTAATCACTCCCATAATCGATTTTTCCTAATAAAGCCGTCGTTGATAGGCGGAATAAAACGAATGTTAAATGTGATCCCGTAATTGTTTTCCTGTATTTAGAATGTCTCAATTTTTGCAACTGAAATTTTAATTTCTGATCTTTTCTGTTCATGTAAATAATATGCAAAGTATGAAACAATTCCACGAATTTTAAATAAATCTAAAATGAAAGTTAAGAAATTCAAAATAAACATTTGTTATATAACGTTACAACGGGAACTGTCGCCATTTTGAAAGATGTACACAAATTTCGTTGCCAAGTGGTTGACCTACCAAAATATTTTAAAATTTTAACCTTAAAACTAAAAGGTAAAGAGCATTATAACTTACGCAAATTCATCGTGATAATGGTTCTTTTCTGACATTTACTAACGACACAATTGAGTGAATTCAATTGTGTCAGTAATGACTCCAAATTTGCCAAAATTATCAAAATGTACTGACTACTGCCCATTTTAGGCATTTAGTATGATGATTTAAGAGGTGTGTGTGTTTTTATACTGCTAGTGCTAATTGGGCTTCCTTGAATATTTTTTTTTTCCAAACGCTATCAAACTTTTTATCTCTTTGCCAAATACAAATATATATATACATGGTCAATTTAACTACATCCCTTTTTTGCAATTTTGAAGGTTTTATGGTTTCAGTGTGGGTTTGTGGCCTAGTGGTTAAGACCGATGGCTACAGTGCTGAAGGTCCTGGGTTCGATCCAGACTCTGGGCGCTGGAAATTTCAGTATGTAAGTAGGGTGATTTTCACCCTCCCACACACATCTCTGGTACCCAGACCGGAGTTTAAACTAGAATGGGTACATTGGGGGCCTCAGGTGGTCAAAGTGGCCCCCGGCTTTGACCTGGAGATCAATCTGTAGATATCTCTTCGGTTTGTCTGTTTCCGCTGAGAAGACAGGTGGTTCTATCTGAGTACCTTGGCTTCCTCCACCATAATAACAGACTTCCCGGTGTCCTAACACTCCCTTGGGTTGGGAATGGTCCGTGGTGGTGGGTTGTATATAAGTTAGTGACACATCTCCATTAACCCTTATAGGGAGTGTACACGGATTCCACTGTACATTCACAGCTTTCGAGGGGTGCTTCGCATATCGGAGGAATTTACGTACATACATACATACATATGGTGACAAATCCGGGTCCATTCACCCTGATTCACATGAGCCCTACTACCCGTTTGCCATGATTTTTATTTTATTTTGTTGACTTATTGTATAATGTAAATTATTTAAATATATCATACATGTCATATATGTTAAATTTTCATGAAAATTTGGCTGAATATTTAGTAATTTAAAATTTAGGTTGTAATGCTGCTACCAAAAATATTTTTCTTTGGTTTGCCATGAAGAGTATAGGAATACAAGATATTTAATATTAAACAACTGAAGTTCAAGTTATCTTTATTTATACATTTTAACAATTTTGAAACAATCATTAACAGTTATAACAGGATCCAACTCAATTCAATTCTTTTATTACTTTTAGCAAATAATGCTCATCAGCACAATGACATGTTATAATATATGCAAATATAATACCTCATGATAACTGATAAATGAATACATCCGAGAAGAATAATAATTTCTGAAGTAAATGACCTATATAAAGTATTGGATACTAACAATAGATATAAGAAGATGTGGTATGAGTGCCAATGAGACAACTCTCCATCCAAGTCAAAATTTATAAAAGATACTAACAAGTCTGTTCTACGTTTAAATGCATGGAAAAGAAATTTACAAAGGTTACATATGTCTTTTACATTTTCTATGCTCAACAACTGTACATGTAAGCTTAAATTACGATGGACGCCTATAATAATATGGCTTGATGTACTGTCTCCTTATTGCATTATACCAATCACACTGTAAAATGAAATGAAACTCGTCTTCTGTTGTATTTAAAGTACAGAGAGTGCAATTTTGCTGATAGATCTATTAACAACGTGGAATCGTTGATAAAATATTAAAGAGTGTCATTTACAACTAATTAAATTATCTTACTTATACCAGAAGTCATTCAGACCCAGATTAAACAATAAATACTTCAGCTGATGAATCCAACTATTTCTGTTATTACAATGATTCCGTACCTGTTCTTGATAACAATTTTTAAAAATACAATTATTCGTTGATAAAAATTTAAACCAGTAACTCAAACTTGCTCATTCGCATCACACACCAGTTATATGTCCTAACACTCTTATTTTAAAGATCACTAAATTGAAATATTCTATAAAAAAACAAAGTATTAAAAAGACACAATCACACAGCATCTACATTCCTACACCATGATTTACTAAATCAAACAAACGAGATCAAAGAAGCCAAGCTGTGAAAAAAATCCCTTTCCTGTCTTTAATTTGTACATCAGTGTTTTCACTCATTCCAAGTTGACTAGTTTATTTAACATTTAAAAAAAAAAAAAACTTTTAAATTTCGTTATTAATCCACCAAAGACAATTAATGAGATCAAGGACATCATAATTATACCTTATCAGCATTCTAAATTACAAATCCTTCTGTTCTTTAAACAATAATTTAATTTTGGCTGTAACATGTCTTCTGATTGGCTGAAAGTTTATTTTCTATCAGCTCATAGACATAATTTTGTCATGAGACCATGCATGACATCATCAACGTTTTTTCATGATTAACTCCTTAAAAATGGAATTTAGAATTAAATTATAAGGAATGACTGTTATATTTTTTCTGTCTTTTCAAGATAATCTCAAAAATGTGGTGCACTTTAAAATAACCTGCTATGGGGGTTATTCAGTGTGCACCACATTTTTGATGTTATTTCTTCATAGACAGAAAAAATATTACAGTCATTCCTTAAATGAAGCCAATTAATGCTGCAAAACAAGCCATTAATTTCTTTAATATTTACCATATATATAGATATCTGAATAAGTTTATAAAACCTTTATACCATTATATTAATTAATATTTAATAGCTTTTGATAAAAGTAGAGCAAGCGGACTCTACAGGCGAACAAACCCAGGTCGAACATGTTAGTAGGGCGAATGGACCTGATACCTATGGTGACATGTACATGTATAGGTGTTTGTGGTTTTGTGGTCCCATGTTTGATTCTGACCTGGAGATCAATCTGCTGATATCTCTTCTACCGAGCCACCCAGTGGTTCTCTCCGAGTATAATAATTCAGCTTCTTCCACCATAATAACAGACTTCCGGGTGTCCTAGTACTCCCTTTGTGTTGGGGTCGGGATTGCCCATGTAAATATTGTTGTTAATGTCGGTTATCTCTTTATATATTTGGTAATAAGTGCAATTGTTTAAAATTCCATAGCTTTATTAATAAAAAATAATCAGAATACAAAACAGCAGTCAAAATACAAGTACTTCAGTTTTGTATACATTCAATGTAAATTAAAATATTGCAACTTCCTTGAATTTCTTTGAGATTCTCTGTGTTTCCAACATTTTATCCACAGGTATGAGAGGAAATTAAATAAGAATATCTTTATATATATATTCAACGTTGTTTTCAATTTAGACTTGTTTATATTTTTTCGTTTGGGCTTGTATTATATTTGCCTTCAGGTTTATATAATCCGTTCATCCTATTTCAACACTTCAAAATTCAAGAGTCTATCCTAAATTGAGGTAAATTATATGGCCTTCCAAATACCGTTTCAATTCCTAACATCACTGAAGAGACAGTAATTGTCGAAATCTGGATATGGTGTACCAATTTTTGCACCTCATGTTTGCAGTATACCATCTTTTCCGCAAGTTTATTGTTTTCTGTTTGGTATTGAATTAATAATTAAGATCCATTTTGTTACATCTGGTGATCCTTTTATTTGGCAATCGCCATGTCAGTCAGCAGGGTTTAAGAACATCCGTTGTTCGACCTGCTAGTCAAATGCGTTTTGTTGAAATATACTTTTTCACTTTTTTGGTCTTTTGGAAAATGTTGTTTGTGCTGTATTTAGACCCCTCTACCAAGAAATTTGTTTTGAATGCACACGTATAAGAATTGCGGTTTTATCAAACGCAATCATAGGTTTGAACATTGTTTTCAAGTTAGACTTGTTTATATATACCTTAGTCAAAACTTATTATTATTTTTTTAATCATCAAACTGCTATCTATTTGGGATGTTTAAATATGCAGCCTCTGTTTTAATTACTCTACAGTTGTCAAATTTGAAATACAATGTATTATACTAGCTTGGATCGGTCAGTGCTGTTTATGGGGAATGTATTTCCATGCAATCGTTGTTGTAACATCTTAAATGTCGCCACCTTTGAAATTTTAGAGTTGTACCAGTTCATATCGCACATTACTATTTTTTATTTGGAGCATATCTTTGCAGTCTCTGTTGTAAATAGCTACATAACCTACGTCATGTTTAAAAATTTTAGAATTGTACAAGCGTCTCTATGATGTTCAGTTTTGACTGTTTTATTGTATAAATTTCAAGATTGTTATAGTTTTATAATCAGACTAGATTGATATGATTCATTTTACATCGTGATCATACTGATGAAGGATAATCTGTTATCTGAAATATTTAACATTTGTTCATTTTATTAGGCAGTTAAGCTGCCTTATGCGAGCACCCTAGATTTGTGTTCTACCCAATAAATGCTGAAATACGTGCCATTGTTATTATCTAGCTGGCTATTATGTTATTTATAGCTAATTGGACATTTTTTTAATACTTTTATTTCTGGAATACAAACAATATGACCAGAAAAACCTTAAATGATCGTCGAACTACCCAAAACTTTTGAAGTTGCACATAGGAAGTAGTGCTCAATAGAAATCCGTACGTAGTTTATTATCCCCTGTGCTTTTGGCTACGATGTCAAAGAACAATTGTATGAAATATTTCATTGCCGAAAATCGGTAATTACAAGTCGTTTATATTTCCCAAATGGCAAAATGCGCAGGAATATTGTTCATGTACAACAAATCTCTATGATAGAGGAAATAAAGTTATATAAGTGGGCGGTAATTTTTAACTTATCTTACCAAATATGGTTGTTGTTATTTTATGAATGAAACGAGGCCATGAAACAGATGCGGAAATCGACGTTGATGGGATGTTTTAAGTAATGTGGACAACTCGTCCCCGAGACAAGTCGGACCGAATCCACTCAAACCGTCTAAGAAGACAACTTTGACCGTTTGTCAGATTTACTTAGGGTTTCATAAAATATTAGACAAACATGTCTAGCGGAGCCATTAATCTTTTGCTTGTGCATTGGGGTCTATTTAGGGCTATTTGGAGGGGCCTGAAGAAGGGATGGGTTTAC